GGAGGGGGGAGGGGCCAGCCCGGTGATGGGTATTAAGGAGGGCACGTTCTGCATGGAGCACTGGGTGTTATACGCAAACAATGAATCATGGAACACCACATCAAAAACTAATGATGTAATGTATGGTGATTAACATAATAAAATAAAATTAAAAAAAAACTACCTTGAAGAACGTGAAAGTAATTGTTGATTGAGCTGAAGAAATTTCCTGCTAAGTTTAATAACCAAGGTCTAAGATTTAAAGTTATAATGAGGAAGGAAACAGTGCTGAATCCATCATTAAACTACTGTGGATCTGAATACCTGTGATTAAGATTAGTCCTTGGCCATTCAAAGCTGTTTACACACACACACACACACACATACAGTCACTCAAGATAAAGTATAAAAAGAAGCAGAATTCTGAAAAGTAAGACAGCAATGAAAAGCAAAGACCAAAATAGCTACATTTCCCACAAGCTCATTTGTAAGAGTCATACTACTGAATAGAAAAGATGAATGAACCGAGAATTGTTTTTCTCGAGAAACGTGTCCACTTCTGATTGAATAATTGAAAAGATACAAGATGGGGCTGCAGATACCCTCATCTGTGTACACATCCATCCATTTGCCCTCGAAAGAACTAACCAGAACTGAGTATGTCCACAGATCTGCACGCGATATGCGCATATACCGAAGCTAATATGTTCTTACGCCTTCTTGCTCAGCGGCAGCTAAGGTTGAGGAAGGCATCTGCAGATGGGACATCAAGTATATGGAGTCTTGTGCAAGAAGAAATTGAAAAGGAACGACCTAAAGTCCTATTAGTTATGATACTCTACTGCTCATTCCAGGGCAGAATTGTACGGTAAAGAAAATATAGAGAAGCCCCTAGAAAAACTGAGCCGGTCAGACCCAAAACCATCTGTGCCCCACAAACCCAGCTTCATGCCCCCTGAAAACTGCATTTTGTTTCGGCCTTCTATGCGTGTCTAAACTTCATGGTTAATTTTTAGTGGTCAGGCTTAATAATCAAAAATGCTAAATTACTCACCAAAAGCTAGAGAGAAAACACTGCATATAGGATAATCTCAGAGATCTAAGGTGTGCTCTGCTATAAATAACAGCAGTATCTATTTGTTTCCATCTGCTAGGGCATGGAAAAATTGAGTATTTTTTTAAGACTTGCTCTTACAAAACAACTAGCAGGTGCTTAATCTGCAAGATTAAAAGGATATGAATGAGATCTTCATCATGGCTGTGGATTGCCGTGTGAAGCTGATCTTCTAAGTACAATAACTTCTTGTCTATGGCTTCACATTTTTCTCCAAGTTCTGCAGAAAGGACGCAAGATTCCTGGCCAAAGAAAAAGAAAAAGATCACTTGTAAGCTATCGACTTTTTCAGGACCATGAGCACATCTGTACTTTACCCGGTGGTACCCAGAAGGAAGATTTCCCAACAGAGCCCCCCCAGCTTCTGCACACCAGGAGAAGCATGCCAGAACCTTGGTCTTCCCTGGAGGTCATTCTTGAGAAGACATGAACCAATTTCAGGTTATTACCGAATGACAAGCTCTGCGGGTGACCTCCCTTATCCGGCCATTTCAAAGTGCTCTTTCCAGGATGTCAACTCCTAACATCGAATTATCAAAGGGGAAGCCTGAGTCTCCCAGCTGCATCCGTGGGCAGACTCACAATGTAACAGGAATTCGAACCAAAGTCGGGCTGAGGCGAGTCAGAGGAGCAACCCGGCTGCACCTGTAAGAACAGAGCTAGTCCTTTAAGGGCACAGGAACCCAATAGGGCACTGGACATGTTTTCACACACTAGTCACAGTGTCTGAAAGTTAGAAAATTAAGGAGACTTTAAATGCCATGAGGTGTGTATTATATATACAGTTTCCGCTGCCACCACCCCAAGTGTTAATCCGCTCTCCCTCTCACCAGAGCAGAAGCCCCAGAAGATCAGAGCCGCTGAATGATAGGCCCCAGAAGAGCAAGGTGGATGGTGGCCTGCTCACTGTGGGGTCCAGAGCCCCTGACACATGGCAGGCATGGGGTACTCATTGGTTCCATGAATGGACATCCAAGTCTTAGAGCTCCTTCCTTCTCAGAGGCTTCCCCTTCAAACTTATATCCCACACATGAACCCCAAAAGTGTCCTCTCTATTTCACTTCCCAGCACAAAACCACCACCACAGAGCAGAGTCCAAACTCGGCCCCTTCACAATCGGCCACAAGGCTCACACCAGTTGTGTCCCCTCTCACACACAATCTAATTTTGGCCAACTGGATGGCCCTATTGCTTCCGGTCACACTATTCTTCCAGCCGTTCTGATATGCGTTAGGTTCTCACGAGTGAAGGTAAAGCCCCTACAGGCATATGGGCTACCCATTCATTCCACACCTTCAAGCGCAATAACTGGATTTGGAAAAGAAAAGAATAAACAAGGTCAAAAAAAATGAGGAAGGGAAACAGAATCTTAGAACAAAGGGAAAGGGAAAAAGCAGCATTATGCTTAGTGAGATAAGCCAGACAGAGAAAGACAAATTTTGCATGATACCACTTCTATGTGGATTCTATAAAAGCTGAATTTGTAGAAACAGAGTGTAGAATGGTGGTTACCAGGGCCTGGGACGTGGGGGTGGGGAGATGTTCTTAAAAGGGACAGACTTGCACCTAGAAGATGAATTAAGTCCTGGTTATCTAATACACAGCACAGTGATTATAGTCAACAATACTACAGTATAAACTTGGAAAATACTAACAGACTAGATGGGAAACGTTCTCACCACAACAAAGAAATGATACTTATGTGATGTGAGAGAGCTGTTAGCTAACACTAGGGTGGTAATCATATTACCATACATAAAATGTCCCAAGTCAACACATTGTACATCTTTTTTTTTTTAAATTTTTAAAAAATTTTTTTTCTTTTTTCTTTGAGAGAGAGACAGAACGTGCATAGGAGTACAGGTTGGGGGGGCACAGAGGGAGGGGGAGAGAGAGAATCTTAAGCAGGCTCCACTCCCAGCATGGAGCCCAACACGGGGCTCTATCTCACACCCCTGAGATCATGACCTGAGCAGAAACCAAGAGTCTAACACTTAACTGACTGAGCCACCCAGGCGCCCCAATATGCTATTCATCTTAAACTTACAGCCTGTTCTAAGTCAATTATATTTCAGTAAAAAAAACATAATAAATAGATAGATAAAAAGCACCAAAAAGCAAGTCATTAAAATCTAACCCCAAAAATTTAAAAATAAAAATACATACATACATACACACATACATACAATTTAACCAAATGTAAAAGTAATATTTTCTCAACCCGGAGTGAAAGTCTTCGAAGGTATACTAAAAAGAATTTTGCATAAGGGAAAGAATTAAGATATATATTTAGATTAAACTGCAGGGTTACTACAAAAGCTACAATTAATACCCAAAAAGAACAATGAAATGCCCAGGTGTGGTGATATTTACTGTTAAAAAGGACTTAGAGATCACGAGTTATGTAATATTATAATTGGAGGCCATAAATAATCATTAAACCCAGATATGTAACTTAATATTCATTATATTAACTCCAGAATGCTTTTGAGTTTATATCCCAGTTGGTCAACTATATTAGAATAGAACAGGGCTAAGGGGAACTATAAATAACTATTGCAAATATTGGAGAAGTCTTTTGTATTGCAAGTAAATGTATAGACAGAAGAAAAAAATCTAGTGACAACATTAAACCATTTCAAGGACAAATGGACACAAACGAGAAGGTCCGTGAAGCACGCATGACGGTTTGCCCGTCATTGATCACGGCAGTGATGATGAGAAGTCGGCGAATATATAAAAATCACATATGCATCCTTATTTTACTGATCCTAAAAGTAATCACATTCTCATTCAAAGATGCAGAATTACAGGGCAGACAAATCACACGGAAACGGAGACAGTGGGCAATGAGCAACGCCACCGTCATGCGTGAAATAAATGAGTCGCGAAAAAGAGCATCTGGAGGCAAATGATTGGCAGCCATGAGACTCTGAGTCATACACGAAGGAGAAAAGCATCGTGTTGGGGGGTGGGGGGGAATGCACATGACTGAAAATACATTTGAAGAGAGGAAAAACACAGGCTCAGAACGCAGAACCAAGAAACTGAAAGCACTTAAGATAGATGCAAATGACTTAATCCTCACCTTCAGGCTAAAACAAATAGAAATCAAAGCTGAATTAAATTCATTTAAAATATGGCTTTACAGGGGCGCCTGGGTGGCTCACTTGTTAAGCGTCTGCCTTTGGCTCAGGTCATGATCCCAGGGTCCTGGGATGGAGCCCCACATTGGGCTCCCTGCTCCGCGGGAAGCCTGCTTCTCCCTCTCCCACTCCCCCTGCTTGTGTTCCCTCTCTCGCTGTGTCTCTCTCTGTCAAATAAATAAAATCTTTAAAAAAATATATGGCTTTACATTTGCCCCCCCCCACAAACAGATAAGCCCCACCTGTTTGCCTTTTAGAATTATGTACAGATTGATAGTGATTGCGTGAATCGGGAAAACATTTCAGACCAGGTAGCAAAAACTTTAAATTGTTCATAGCCTGTGATCCATTAATTCCATTTCCTGGAATCTATCACAAAGAAATAAATTTTATTTGGATTTAAATAACTTTTATTAAACCTTTTAAATAAGTATGGAAAATGTTACATATGTTAAATAAAAATATATTTTAATAATGCAAAAATAATTGCATGAAAAGCATGGGAAAGAAGAAATAAAATGTCCAACAATAAAAGGGGTGGTTAAAATAAATTCTGGTATATTTAATTCATATTTAGCCATTAAAATCATCTTTAAGACAGTAATATTTAATGATGAGGCAATATACAATGGAAAAAGCACTAAAATATTGACAATTATTATTTCGAAGAGTGGTGTTATAGAAGATTTTTATTTTCTTCTCCATACTTTGTTGTATTTTCCACCTCTCTAAAATATAAGAAAGAAAAAAGTTACCGAGGACACTGATTCAAGCCATAATGGAATAGTATGGAAGAAATACACCTGAATATTTTTAAAAGCAAGTTCACAGATTAAAAAGACATAAAGAGGCAAAAAGAAACTCAAAGAACTTATGGTTCTATGACCACTAACGGAAGACCTGACTGGCCCTCTGACACTGGGCTGTTTCTCTAACTCATAGAATCTCTACAAGGCTCCTACACAGACCACGACTTGGTGGCCCAACAGATGCTGCTCCTGAACTCCTGGTCCTGTGTGTGACCCAGTTGGGCGTTACTTGGGAGTTTATGGAATCTTGGGAAGAGAACTCATTTAAGACCTCACCTGAGCAGTGACAGCTGATGAAGGGCAGATCTATGTATTTCTACCAACCTGGTGAAAAATTCTGCTCTGTCCAAAGGAATCCTACCTGACCACAGAGACCAAGGTGGGACCAGAGTCATGGGTATAAAGTGAACACAGTTGCAGAGGTCCTGCCTGTCAACCTTAAACCTGAGGGACTAGGCAGAACTTTTGTATTTTCCATGCTATGCCCAGGTATGGCAGAGTGTATGTGTAGCCCCAGCCATACAGCCTTCCAGAACCTTGCCCCTCTGCTGTTTATTACTCCTCCCCCTTGAACCTGGCTGGGCTGTTGAGAATTGAAGGATTCTTTTCAATGAACAGAACATGGCAAAGGTGACATGCCTGACTCTCATAACAGATGATATGTCTTCTCAGATCACTTGCCCTTGAACCTGGCCTCCATGTTGTGAGGAAGCCCAGAGCCCACGGCAAGCCATGTGTGGGTATCTGGTTGAGAGTCCCAGCTAAGGCCCCTGCTGACAGCCAGACACAGATGGGACTAAGTCTTCAGATGATTCCAAGCTCCACATTCGAGTCATCCACCTGACAGTCAAACAGCGTGGGGCAGAGACAGTCTTTCCTGCAGTGCCCCATCCGAATTCCTGACCCACAGATCCATGCATATTGTAAATGGTTGTTCTAAATCACTAAGTTGGGATGATTTGTCATGCAGTTATAATAGCTAGCACAGCGGGCTAGACAGGTCATACCCTACACAGGATCCTGTGCGGATAGATAGAACTGTTGCAGAATGCTGGTAGGAAGTGCACTGCCTGGATAGATAGGACTGTTGCAGAACGCTAGTAGGAAGTGCACTGCCTGGATAGATAGGACTGTTGCAGAACGCTAGTAGGAGAGTGCACTGCCTGGATAGATAGGACTGTTGCAGAATGCTAGTAGGAGAGTGCACTCTCGCTGGTTCCTAGCTACTCTCACTGGTTCCTAGGTAAGAGCCACCCCAAGACTGACTAGATCTTGAAGCTCAACAAC